CAGATTGGGCACTGAAGAGAAGATATGTATTCTATCTTATTCTTAGAGAATTGCATTATTCTGCAAAATCATCAACAGCGTTTACTTGATTGTTTCAGCCTTAAGAGGTGTGTTGCATGTCTTTGTAAGATTTCTGTATTTTCTTGATCTGGAAAACCAAAATAGCAGTTTTTGAGCCATTTGAAGTGTAATGTTCTCCTAGTAATCAGCCTCCTAGTAGCTGAGTTCTTCAGGGATATTTGCCAATGGTCGCTTAAAATACTCAAGTGTTACATCTGCAAGTTTCAGAAATCTTATTATCTGTGCATCAGAATTCTGTTGTGTTTGCAGCTCTCTAATGTTTATGTGTAGTCATAACAGGAGCAGGCTTTGAATGAGAAGACAATGAACCTGTCAATTTTCTAGTGTTTGAAAATGTTTTCTGTTTTATGGATGACATAAGCAATCCACTGAGAAGTATTCATGCATACCATGAATAGCAAATGCAGAAGCAAAATAAAACTTTTAATCCTACAAAACATATCATAATACTTAATAAACACTAAGAAAGAAGATGCTTACAGTCAACTAACATATTTTAGGGTTTTTTTTTGTCATCTTCTGTAATTTGTTTAGGCATGCGGATGTCTGAATGGTAATAATGCTCACCATCACCTGTGTGTGTTGTTGCATTGCCTCCTACAGTGTGTGTGTATCATATTATAGAGGTTTCTCAGAGCAAAAATGAAGGGTGTTTTAGAGCTGAGGCAAGACCTCATAATGGGATAATTGGATAATCTTTTGTATATATTATTCTTTTTTTTTGTGAAGTACAAATTAATATCTGCAGTCAGAAATGAAGCACAAGTGAAAACAAGCTCATTTCATGTTCTGCATACTGTCTTCAGTTCAGTTACTTACTTTGCAGGTTAGCTTTAACGGGCAAAACTTGATAGGGCAGAACTTCTTTAAAGCCTAAATGATCAATTTTTCAGAATTAGTCAGAAATTAGGAAGTGTGGCTTTCTGCAGAATGCTTAGGTGAGCTCAAGTAGCTAAAAGCATGATGTGCTCTGTCAGTGTAGGTGGACACAGAATAGCTGCAGCTGGACAAGGTTTACAGTTTACAAGGCCTGTAATTCTTTGCAGGTGTAAATGTTTGCAGCTGTTAAGTCTACTGAAATTTATTTGCCTTCTGTCAGATGAGGAGGTTTTTTTGTAGCCTTCTAGATTGTTAACAGAGGGAGCTATGGATTTTTGGCTTAGAACTTCTAGCTTTAATCTTTGCTTGGTACAACACCATTTGAACCACGGGGAAGGCTCTTCGTTGTGCACAGCAGGTAACAACATGCTGTGAACTTTGTTCATGTAATTACTGGAAAAGGTCAGACTAAGAAGGACATGATCTCCTCAGGAGAAGTTGGCGGTAATGGGTAAGTAATTTAGCTCCCTGCAGCTACTGCAGGGAAGGCACTTAGATGGCACTGAAGGCTTTGCTTTGGTGTTTTGGCAGCTGAAGGCTATAATGGTGTCTTGCTTTGTTTCCACTAGTTAAAATACGAAAAAGAAACAAGTCTCCTTAGTGATTATCACTGAAGTGCTTTTAATCTTGTAATAAGGAAAGACGAGTTTATTTTGTGAGATTTACTCTTTATTCTGTACTGGAATCTTGATGTGAATCTTGGCTTTTACTTACAGGACACAGTGGTGCAATGAAGTACCACGGATGTAATTAAAGAAGCAAAATATAGAGAAGCATGTAGAATAGGGAAGTGCTTAATTCTGTATCAGCTTGTTTATGGAAACAAAAACATTGTTTTTGTGTTGTTTGCAGATGCATGGTAGATGTTTTAAAGGTCACTGTTGGTAGTCCGAAGTTTATCTTCATCTCGTTGTTAGTTTAAACAAAGGTCAAGAGGGTTAAATAGTTAGCAAGAAGAGTCTGACAACATTAGTAAGATACTGTACAAATCAAGACTTTGCTGTAAAAAAACCAATCAGGCAGAGATTTGTATTTATTACTTTTCCACCGTGGACATAAATAAAAGTAAAGTTTCTGGATGTAAACAACCAACATTTCAAAGGAAATTCCCAGGATTAAAACAAACAAACAACAAAACAAACAAAAAAACCACAGTGCTTTAATAACCCAAACTGCTCTTTCAGGAGATCATGACCAGAAAAACCATTTTATGGAACTGACATTGTTTAGAAAAAAAAAAAAGAACATACATTAAAATAAACTGGCTAAAGCCTCTTTTTTGTTCAGTTTTCGGATTCAGACATTTTCTCTACCTAGAAAAACTGCAAAGTGATTTTGTGAAAGAACCATTTATTCATTTCCCACTTATATTTTCTTTCCAAAGAACAACCGTTCTCTTCTTTTGAAATCAAAATATTGTTTGTTATTTATCAACTCCTGAAACTTAAGAAAAAGATTTTATTTCAACAGATGGCACCCCATTTAAAGAACATAAAGATTTACAAAACATACATTTGGTGATATATTTCATTAGAAAGATATTCTGAATCTAAAATAGCATAATTACTAAGTATTGTGACTTTTTCAGAAGAGCTACATGAAACAACAAAAAGCCCTGCATGACCTGACAGTACATGACAAAAAGCAGTCATTACTCCTCTCACACATTTGGAATTTTTAAGGGAAGTTAGGTTGACTCCAAAACTGCAATTTGAACTAAAGTAGGTCTAGAATTTATGTGCTGTACAGTATTTTATAAATAACACATTGTAGCTGTCAATTAAATGTCTTCAGAGAAAGTATTTGAGTATTTTGTATGTGAGTGTTATCAGTTAGCTCTGGTTGGTGTTTTTTTTTTTTTAATTTATTTATTCTGATTTTTAACATGTAATTCCTACTCTGGTGATGGTTTCAGGCATTACACAATGAATTAAGTCAACAAAATTCTTTTAGCCGTTATTCTTTTAGCCGTTATTATTTACTTATCTACCCTTTCCATTGCTTCTCCAATGCTGTCATCCTGCTGTGCTGATGTCTTCTCACTATTACTATTTAATTTAACCAGTAGTTTTTTTTTTTGCTCCAACGTTGTTTCTAAAATTTTCTGTGCTAAGTCTGTTGTGCGATATAGTGAGAAAACTCACTATCATAACCTCTTGCCTTTGGTATAGCTGGTTTTATTGTGAAACTATGATGCTTAATCTTTTGTACAAATTATTTCTGGCATACTTCATTTCAAGTTAAATTGTTGTGGGTTTTTTGTTCACAGTATCAGGGCTTCTGGAAGCCAGATGAGTTCTGTCCATGCACATTTCTAGAATGTGTTTGGCTAGGAAGTTTTTTAGGTGGCCGCTGCTGACTCACGTAGCACATGGTTTCTTACCTTATCTGCATTCTTATGTTGTACTTTGTTAAAGTTAAAATAAACTTTCTTGACAACTCTGGGCCAACTCAGCATTATGAAGGACAGTGCTTTAGGTGAACTCTTGATTTCATATTTTTTTTTCATGTAAGAATTTAGTGCCCTTCTTCTTTGAATGGACTTTCCTACAGTAAATAGCATATCTGTGTTCTCGTGCAGTTTTACTTACTCCAGGAATTGATTGGTGTGATGTGGCAAATCAAAATGTTGTGATCGGTTTAAATTCAATGATCTGTCTTTATTGAAGGGATACATGCAAAAACAAAATCAGACATTAAAATGAGCCTTGCTGTACTTACTTAAGAAAAAGGACAAGAAGATGACTTTCACATAATAGCAGGTCATTGAAAATCAGCTTAGTACAAGAATAAACTCACTGGTTTTGCTGGTATTGCTTTTATTGGTATTGCTTATTATTGTACCTTTGTCCTCCAAAGATATTCATCTTAAAATGACATTTTAATACACAAGCAACCTTTGCACACTAATACATCCTTCAGCATATCAATTACAGTAATGCAAAATAGGAAGGCTGTTGGAATGCCAGCATAAGCAGTGTGTGTAGATGGGTGTGATAAAACTGCATACTCTTATCTAATGAATTCTGGTGCCTACTACATCCACAAACCATTACTGACAAACTTTTCTGGCTCACTAAAGGCATATAACTTTGCTCATAACATTTCATACAGCTTTCCCTTCAAAAGGCCTTTAAAGTAATAATAATTCTATGTCAACTCCATACTGATTGTCCTTAACATATTTTTAAAACTGTTGTCCTTTAGTATCATGATACTCATGATTAAGCCATGTGACATAGCATCACTGTAAATGAAGACTGGTTTTTTTAATCTTTGGTCTTTTCTGACAAATGTCTGGTTAACCCTAAGCACTGGAGAAACACAAGTGCACAAAAAGAATAGACGTTTTTAACTAATATTACAAGAACTAATAATATATGGTATAAAAAGGAGGATCTAGAGGTAAGACTGTTGAAAACCCTGGCATCGTTTGAACTGTTTAACCAGAGTTTAAGAAAAATTCTGCAGAACAATTTTTTTTAATATTAACTAATCTGCATTGCATTTAATAGGCCTTCATAAAGTCATTCACCCTCCTAAAACAAAAAAAAACAAAGCCTTAGAATGTTTTGATTTAGCAATACAAATATTAAATGCATAGAGGTACAATTGGGAAGAATTAGGTGTTTTAGCAGTACAAAAGCAAAAGTGGCTACTCCTCTCTATTCATCAGGCCAAGGTGCACTGGGGTGGAGCAAGTTGTAATGAGTACAAGTCAGAACTTAGTAAAATCTAATCAGATGTTCTTTTCATTGTGGAGATGGACAAATGCTGGAAAACGCTGCCCTTGGATGTTATGAATTCTCCATCACTGGAGATGCTTAAAACTAAAATAGATCTAATTGGACCTCATTTAGGAAAGAAATTAGATCTAGAATTACTATATATATATATATATTTTTTTTTTTAAGATATACTTAACAAGAAGTCTATTAAATGACATACTTTGAAATAATTCCTTTTCAAATTGAACTGATATAAGAACAGAATAAAACTTGAACCTGAAATTCTTCATTATGGTTAAATTGTAGATGACAACAACCAATATATTTCACTGCAGATGTGAAATAATTGTAATTATCTCCTCTGAGGAGATTCCCCTGGACTTATACTTGATTATGCAGTCTGTTTAAAGGTCAGTGAAGTTCCTTTTCTTTAGTTTGTGTTGCTTAATATGAAATGAAGTCCGCAGGTTTGACTACCATTGTCTTGTCTTTTTTTTTTTTTTTTTTTGAAACTTGAACAAAAATGTCTTTACAAAGAATGTGAGCATCACAGGAAAAGAAAAAAGAAGAAAACTTAAATTTCTTCTTCAGAAACAGTCCCTTCATGTGTCTTTATTCAGTGATATAATTCTTCTGATTTGATACTCAATTAAATATTCTTTAGCGATTTCATAATAGTGTGTTTTCAATTCTGTGCTTCCAAACCTCTTTTTGCTCTACTGTCATTTGAAATATAAAAATTGTTTCAGTTTAAGATCTGTAAGGAAGTCAAATCCACCAGAAGCATTTTTTTTTCACCTTTTTTGTTTTCTTTCTCAACTCCTTTTTCTCGTGAAGTGGATGATCAAATGACGGCTTCTGAGGCGAACCTGAAGCTGGATTTTGCTCTGCATGATCCAGCCTTTTCAAAATCTGTTGAAATCTTCCTTCTTGTTGTCTGAAGTCATATTCTACACTAGAAAAATGAAGAGATGTGAGCTAATAAATGAAAAATTCCCTTTTTAAATGCTTACTTCATTAGAACAGATAGTTTCTTCATTAGAACTTGTTTACTTTGAGGATGACAGAAAAGTGGAACACGCTGCCCAGAGAAGTTGCGGCTTCCTTCTCTGGAGACACTCAAAACCCTTCTGGACACTTTCCTCTGCAACCTGGGGACCTGTGTTAGCAGGGGGTAGGACTAGATCTCCAGAAGTCCCTTCCAACCCCTATGATTCTGTGGCTCTGTTATAATGAGGCATTCAATATAAGAGCCTGGTTAAAATGCAGTGTATTTTGCTGCCTTGAATATAAGATCATCTATTAATATTTTCTGAAGAAATCCTCTTTCTTTACATGAGATAAGAACTCCAATATTGTTGATCTTTTAGTGCACTTCATTAAACATTCAGATTTCCATTCTGTTACCTAACTCAATCGTGTATCTGTCATGAATTCAAAACATTCACATATTAAATGTGAGAAGTTCATCCCCAGTAAGGACAAAAATATGTATGAAATAACCTAAATAAATAAGTCTTTGAAATAAATGAATTGAATTACTGAGGAAATAGGAAGTAGAACTCTACTCACAATGTCTGTATGGAAGCCCATAACTATTACTGGTGTAGAATGAGAGTCAAGATGATAAGAGCAAATATATGCACAGAAAGTAAGGCTCAAAAGAATCAATGTGGAAAAGAGCATTTTGATGCAGTCAGTATAATTAAACAAACAAACAAAAAAGGAGTCTGCACTCTGTGCTTTTTCTTTATTATCTCCACATTTTCTAGGAAGGGGAATGAGATTTGTATCAGCTCTATCTGCAGTATAGATTTTTGCTGCAGGAGTGGAAAGCAAGAAGAAACTGACCTTTTGTTTTATTTTTCATAATACAAGCATTTTTGGAGGAAAAAAATATTATCAGATGCATCTGTTCAATTTTATCAGCTTTGGGCTAAAACACAGTACTATTCACTAGTCACAGGTCAGGAACACCAGAGAAGGAAACGTTATTTTATAAATCAAAAACTAAAACAACCAAAAAAAGGGAAAGCCTCTGTTCCTTTTTCCTTACCTGCTTTAAGGTTTCAGATTTGTATTTTGGAGAAACTGTCTCTAGAGATCAATTCAGTCTCTATTTAATAACTTTCCTTGATTTTTGAGGTAACTGTTTGTTTTCAGTCCCACCTGTGTTTATTATAATAAAAACAGTAGTGTGATATGTACTAGATTGGAAGTCCCAAGGTACTGCACCTAACCCTGCTGATTAGGTAATAAAGGTAAACTTACAGTCTGGTCTAAATTTGCTTCTGCTGTAAGACTGAAAAGTTCTTCATTCCTTCAGTAACTCATGTAATCAACTCTTTAACAGGTACAGATTAGTATACTGACTGCCTCAGGCTGTGTATGATGAGGAAGATTCAGTGACACTAACACATCATTGTGCTGTATTTGAGTCACTACTGACTTAGGTTGCTGAAGAGCAGGAGAAGAGGGCACAGGGTGAAACATTTAGTTCTATATTCAAAGACAACAGTCATGCTGCAAATAGAAAAAATACATATATGGATTTTTTTAGGCTAAACAAAACCCATTACATGGATTTGTTTAAAATAAACCTGATAAACACAAATACTTCCTTCAAAATGCAATGAACATCAAATATTAGTTACTCAGAAACTTTTTTGTAGCTGCTTCTTACGAGACGTTTCTATGAGAATGGAAATGATTACATTTCCTTACTGTTTTATGTTTTGTCTCTTAAAACCAATAATTCTTCGAAGCGGGATCTGTGTTCTTGCTTCTGTTCTACTAAGTGGTGTTCTTCAAGCCTCCAGGCAATTTTAGCATTAAGAAGTATGTACTATCCCAAAAGACACGTCAGTGTTTAACTGTTTCTTCTGTTCTTCATATATTTGCACTCCTTACTCAAGATCTTTCCTGTATTGCAACTGTGTAAACTGAAAAGGCAGCATAAGAAGCATAGTTTATTCTCCTGCAGAGAGAAGGTATCCCGTGGTAAAGGGTTATTTCTATATGAAATCTACAGAATTTCTATGTAATGTGTGTTCCTGTAAAATCCAACAAAAAGTTGTTATCTTTTCATTCGAAGCGTAAAAAATAATATGGTAAATTTTGACTATATGCACATCTTAACTTTTCATTCTCTTCAGTCTACAAAGTATGTCCGCACTGTGAGGAGTCTGGAATGGTGAAAGGTGGGCTCCCAGTCTGATTATGCTGCAATTGTTCAGCATTCTTTGAAGATTCCATGCAACATAATGGAATCAAATAGCTAAACATTTGTATTCTGACTTATAATAGAGCTTGCATTGACTGGACAGTGTGTTTACCAATTGATTGAGGTCCTAGAAAATCCATTGCTGACAGGACCAGCTACTTGTGCAGTATTACAGAGAGTTTGTACTTCCTCACTTTTTGCTAATGGGCAGAAAACCAAAGACTTTCTGTGCTAATATGAATGCAACACTTGGAATTGGTATAGTTTGCAGAACGCACTACTACTAAGTTCATCAGAGTACAAATTCATGCTGTAGTTAAAGTAATTTAGACTCAAAGTGCTCTGTTTCAAAATAATAATAAATAAGCCTTTGCTGAAGTAAGAAGGGGGACGTGTTCATTGTTCTGCGTTACACAGACAAGAACTGGTGCATAATGGTATTTGGAGAATGTTCTGCTTATGTTTTCCAAGATCCAAATGTATGACAAATTTTATCTCAAAAAATCTAACACATACACAGAATTTCATAATCAGAAACAACTTCAAAGGTTTTAAAAGCATGATAATACTAGTAATGCTGTGAAACCTTGATGGAAGTTTCTGTTTGAATTTCCAGAAGTACAGTATCTTCTTCTGATAACACCAGTGCTAACTGTTCTTTATCTGGGAGAAAGGAAACAACAAAAGCTCCTCACATATTCCCTTTTCTTTTTTAAAAAACAGGGATGATGATATCAGACCTTTTACAGCTGTGAGCAGGACATAGCATTGTACATCTGTGAGAGATATACAGTCAGTGGAAAATTGTGCAAGGCATGGTACCTGTAAATTATACATGCGGTGTTCTGACACGTGCTGCAGTTGTTGAGGTCTTGACCGGTGTGGTAGAAGTTGCGCCTGTAACAAACAGTTGTTCATGTAACGTGTATTTGTAAGTACACTGACATACTTCTATGATAAAATATTTCCAGGCAGTAACAAATCTTCAAGCATTCTTTGAAAATAGCTTTTTGCCATTTTTTTTCTTGTAAGAAAATTTTGACATACGTGATTGTCACCACAGTCTGTCGTATCCTGCTAAGTTTTTGAACAGCCACACAAACCTGTTCTACCCACATGAAAATGTGCGCAAAGACCTGGGTTTTCATCAAGTGGGTAAGTCATTGTCATGTTCTGGACTCTTACATGCAATTGAACCTGCACAAATATCTCAAGGCAGCCCTTCTGTGTTGCAGACACAAACAAGCTTACCAGGTGTATTCCTTAGTTGTAGTCAGGAAATACTATTGATACACGTGACACAATGCTAACATTAGGGATCTGGTTTTATGCACAACCAGTTGTGCACAAATGATTTACTTTATGTGTCTGAGTGCTGCTGTTTTATGCAGTATATGAGATGTTGTGGGAAAAATTAATTCCATCCCATCCAGGCACAGCATACTAAACCAGCTACGTTGTGTCTAAAACTATATGTGCGATAACCTAGACTGCACACTGTTTTATTGAAAAAGCAAACAAAATTCTTGTTTGCTTGTTTCTTTGAAAGATACTCCGGCTGTTTTGGTTTTTTTCCTGAAAATAAAAATTCTTTGATAGAAATACTACATTATCATGAAAGACAACTTTAAAATGCATCTAGGATACATTTACTGTAAGCTGAAACTGTTGTTAATGGCTTGAAGAGCATTAATAGTATATTTGTAATATGTAACTTGACCACAGAAATATTTAATATAGTACTTTGTCATGTGAATATATCTGCTTCCTGAGTGTTCTGACATGAGTTGTGTGGGTAGTATGGATATTACTTATAATTCATGAATATGTTACATAAATACTCGTCGTGGCTTTGGCTAATAGATATGAGACTGTTCACTAAAACTGAATACAGATCATGCATTCTTACTGATACTGCAGAAAGCAGTCATTCTAAAATATGAGACTCCTAAGAGTCTTGCTAACAATCTTCATATGCTCCATGTTCATAGCTTTAATAACTTTTAAGCCCTGACCTTCACTTCCTGCAAAGATTTCTTGACACACTTAAGCTTAAATTAATAAAATTAATTTAAAAAATTAATGTGGTCTTTTGCCTTTTTCAATTCTAAAGGCTTTCCCCTTAAGTGGATATGTTGTAAGTGATATAACGAAACGTAACCAACAACATAGTCCCAACAACGAAAGCCTGCAGATGTTGTGCACTGGCCACTAATTTTTTTGCTTGCTCACTAAAGCAGAATTAATATTGAACAGAAGCATGGTTTTGCTGATATGAACTGTTTCAGCAATGGTCTGTTTTGGCACTAAATGCATATCCGACCTTGACAGAGAAAGCTGACTTGCCGTAGATTTGTTATATTACTTAGTACATTAGACTGTTGGGTTTTTGTTGTTCAGCTGCAGAGAGATGTTAGCTAGATGGAGACTGTCAGCTGTGTGCTGGCATTGTACCTGATAACATAAATCTAAACAACATGGAGTGCTCATAAACTTCCGCTCAGTTTACTAAAGGCAGTGATAATTAAAGCCAACCTATAAAGAGACTTGCTTTTCTGTAAAGGCTCAAACTTCTCAAAAACTGAATGAGATTATTTCTGCAAACTCATCTTTGAGTATTTAACAGAAAACATATAGTAGCAAAGGTTAAAAGAGCGATAACATCTGCTTCAGGTTTTTGATGAATTTGTGATATTAAAATGCACCGTACCCTTCACTGAGGGCTCTGGATTTTTCAAGGTCTTGAATTACATTCAAAAGGACTTTAATCTTCTCCTGGTTTGACAGCAAGGATTCCTCTACAGACTGCAGCTTGCCTTGTAGAGCACATAGTTCACCATGTGTCAAATGAATTTGATTTATTTCACTAATCTCTTTGTTGATGTGTGGTTTTATTTCATTCCTTGGCAGATAAGACTTCGTGTGAAATCCTTCTAAAGAGCCATTACATTGGGAAACATCAGACAGAGTAGAATTTTTCTCAGTTTCAGTACTAACTGAAGAAACAGATTTTGATGCATTACTGCTGGTCGATGACATTACTGTGTGATCATCATTTGTTACTGTCACACAGCTGGAGTCTGTTTTATTCTCTACTGTCTGTAGATAGCTTCTGAGGAAACAAGGAGATGAACTTTGATTCGATGGAGGTGATAATGGAGTAGTTTCTTTACTGCTTGTGTCTTTGCTGACTACAAGCAACTCAGGATCACTGTTAGCTGTTTCACAAGAATCAGAATGAGGATTACAATCATTGCCGTTAGTGGAATCACTTAGGCAAGGGTATATTTTTTCAGGAATAGATGACAGCATGCTGGTTTCATTGTTTTCATTACAATTTATGATAGTAGAAGAATTAGAAGAATGCAGTAAATTATTTAAATTCATGGTCGTGTCTGATGCATCCATGGAAGTATCACTGTTTTGTGGAAAATTCACATGAATGTATTCAGGCACCTGTGTAGAAGCAGTTGTCTTTTCTGTTACTGAGGAATCGTGGATTTGGATATGTCCATTTTTTTGTGCTTCTGGCAGTCTTTGACTTGACTGACCATCCGCTTTACTATTCCTGAATCCATCTTCCAAATGGCTACTTATTCTTAAGTAACAGAAGTCTGAAGACATAATGTCTTGTTCAGAAATATTGTCATTTACTGGCATGCAGTCTTTAGTCTCACTTGGCATTTCTGTTAGTGATTTGCTTACCAGCAGCTTTTTTCTTCTAAAAACAGGGAAGTGTTTCCTGAGGCTAGGAGATGTTTGTATGGCAATATTCTGAAGCCCCTTCTGAGCTTTTGGAAAAGATGGAGGTTGTAACAAAAATTTGTGTTGTTGAGATATTTCTGTATTTTCAATCATTAATGCAATGTCTTGGGCAGGATTATTATCCAGATCAGTGACATCCACTGTCTTTGTGTTGATACCATCATCCTTGAAACGAACTTGCTGAGATTTGCTTCTGCGGTGATGTGGCTGCCTCATAAAATCAAATGAATCCAGACTGTTTCTCTTCAGTAGCACTGGGCGCACTTTCATGTTTTGCTGGGCCATTGAATCACAATTTAAAGTCTGCAAGTAATGGGTCGCAAAGAAGCACATTACATTTGTCATTTGAACCCTGTCATATGATTGTATACCTTAGATTCAAATGAACACCTTGCTAATGAACAAGATAAGCATTTCATTCTTCTTGTTCTTTTTCAAATTTAGTTGCTCATTAGATTGAACACTAAGGTAAAGATATTATATATAAAATGTAAAGAAAGATTTATTGTAGCTGGAAAATGCAGAAAGTCTTCTGAAGCAAACACGATTCTTCATTTTACAGAATTGCAATAGACAGCTATGCTTACAGTTAACTCATTTAAAGGTCACATTGTGTCTTATGGCTTTCCCGATGGCTCTTAGTTGTCAGTCACCTCTCCATTATAGCAATCCAGCTTTTTTTTCATATGACAGATTAGTCATACGTCTTAAATGCATCCTGACTAAACAGACGTTGCAAATTCTGGGGGCACTTTCATTTCCAGTGCATAGTTTTACTGATGAAATTATATTAATTAATAACAAACTGAATTGCTTTCTTAAGAAAATTTTCCTCTTCAGCCGTGTTTTTACTGTTGAAAGTTAAACTAACACTTCAAAATAATGTAGCCACTTGTGACCAGATAAAAACATAGCATCAAGCAGGGTTCAGTAAGAAGCATTACTATGTGTAGTCGTTACTTCAGTTCTTGCAAACAGGCCAACTGTATCCGAGGTACTGTGTCATCTGGGAAAGTCTTGTAAATACTTTGGCATCAGAAGAGTGGTCCAATCTGAATAACCAGCAAATGCAGAATGACATATTTCCTGGAAGTAAAAAGACAACAATTGTAGATGAACAAATCACCAGATACGATCTTGTTCTACTGTCTCTAACAACTCAATCTCCTGTAGTTTTGTAACTTTGACAGCGAGATCTCTAGTAGAAACTGAAAGTTATTTTTTTTTTTAATTTGGAGCACCTCATATGAAATGTCATAAAACAACCAAAAATGGATACAAAACACTGATGTTTCCTTCAATTCAGCTAGTCACACTATAATACACCAATGATACATGCTTCAGTGGCTGAAGGGATGCAGAGTATTGTTGTTTCCTTCTAAGAACGTGACCCACTTGTTGATGTGTGGTGCATTACGGTATGAGAAATGCACGTATAGCAGCATTGCTAATGAATATGTGATGTATTAGTGCTGAAGTAAGAGAATATAAAGGCACCAACTGTAAAAGCTATCTTGCACTTCTCAATCCGTGTGCAGACACTTTCACATGTAGCTGGCAATCACATAGGCCATGAGGAATCTTACTTGAATATTTTTTGCGATAGATTTTTGATAGAATTTTGCTGGCAACCTATTGTTACAAATGTAGACTCATGATGGCCCCCTGAATTAGAACATACAGGTATATCACATATTGTCTTGATCAAAATAGTGTACTGTATTTTTTTTAGTCAGCACTTTTTCATTCCAGCTGTAGCTGATTCTCACCAAAATCATCTGTGCTATGGACTTGCTTTCAAATGTTCTCCTCCACAGCATTTTGGGCTGAAATTCAGAATATGCAACAATGATAGACTGTTAAGCTAGCTGCTGGAATAGAATAGAATTGGGCTAATAAAATAAATTTGTGCAAAATATGAGAAATATACCACAGGATTTCTAATAATCCCAAGAGATTTACTTTTGTGATTACAGAGATGCTTAATATTGTGACTAAATTCCCAGCATGAAATTATACTTGTGTTCAACTGGCAGTTTAATTACTTGTACTTTTATTGTCTTAGCCTAACGTTTTTTTTAAGCATTGCACAAACTTTACCATCTTTAATTTAGGGGACTTAATGAGCTGGATGTATTGGGAAAGGTATTTTATCACAGTGTAATCAACAAATTTATGTAGCCCCACGTCATTTCAAGCAATATAATTTAAGCAAATTAATAATACAATACCATTCTATTATGAAGCTTTAGAAGAAAGTGAAAGTATCAGATGATTTCAGTGCAGAGACAAATGTCACAAAAGATATCAGTAAACAAATATGTACAGTAATACAAGTTATACTTTCATGATACCACGTACCTCAAATTGCCATGCTGCTTATTCAGTGTAAACAAGTTAATACAATAAAAACATCAAGTTGTTACTGCAAACAAAGTTCAGTGCCAAGATCTGAATTCTCATATTGTTTACTAATTACTGGAGCCTTTTTACAATTTTATTTGAGAATCTATCCAAATATTGCAGTAACATTCCCTATGTCCCACCACAGCTGCTCCAGGCAGATAGACTGCTTTAATGTGAGACTACTTTAATTCCCAATTAAAGTAATGGATGCCAGGTTTTCATGACTGACCTTGCATTCAGCCCTCCTATTCCTTCCCTTCCTCAGGCAGCTGCTCACAGATCTCAGGAAATGCCTTTGAATTGTTTGGTGGTTTTCTGTTGTATTTTTGTTGTTGTTGTTGTTTTGGTTTGGTTTTGCTTTTTTTTTTCCTGAATCACACAGTGGATTGCTTCCAATCTCCTCATTCACTGGTTGCAGTTTGAGGGAAAAGTTAAATATTTTATCTGGTTTTTATATTCCTTCATTTACATGTCCTTCATGACACCTTAATTTTCCATTTTGCTTGACTTCTTTTTAAAAAATATTTTTTATTTCTTTTAATGACAGTGTGACAGTAGTATTCTACTTTAGTGTTTCTGGGAAAAGGAATCTCAACAGACTTTGTTAAGAAGCAAGTAAATCACTAGGCTAAAAGCATTTTATGAGGGCAAGAAAACGATTAGTATAATCACCTTCCTTAATGAGCATCAGCACTTCAAACTTCCTTGTTCACTCTAGATTATTTTGCCACCTTGATGGTCCACCTACCAAAGATTAAACAGATGAATTTCAGCATTTCCGATGCAATGATACTTGATAGGGCTGTAGTGACTGAGTGACTTCGTCATATTTGATTTGTTTTTTTTAATCCTGTGTAAAGCCTATTTTCTGTAATATGCTGCTAGAGGAATATTTTTGTTTGCTTCGTCACGTTACTACATTAAAATTTCAGAGCTCGATGAAAAATACTTTATCCAAAGTTTAATTAAAATTTTAAATCTAAAAGTACAAAACACAAGGGCTGCTCTGAATGTAATGTCTCCAGTTTTACTGTGTTGGTTGCACAGCAGTAGAGGTTGAACCGAACCTTCCTGCCAGTATTCCATTACATTGTGTTGCTGTGTGACGGAAGGCAGCAGAGGGGCAGTCTGAGACAGTAGTGTCTGACATGGGAGTCCATGTGAATCAAAGAGGTGAAACTGAATTCCTCCATGTGGAAAAAATGGTACCCACTGGCATTCATCAGTGTTTGTTGAACATTGGTAGAGATCAAGCAGTAGATGTGAGCACAGTGAGGAGGTGAGCAGTGTGTTTCAGCTGTTACAACTGTGGTCCATCTCCACAGGTGCAGATTTTTATGAGCACTGCACGCAGGCTCTTGTTCATCACTGGCAAAAATGCATAGCCAACGGTGGTGACTGTGTTGAAAAAGAACGTTTTGTAGGTGAGAATGTTCTCTATCAATTAATGTTACTGCATTATTTGGTGTATTTTCCATGGAAATAAATAGGAGGCATTACTTTTGGAGCAGCCTATGAATGTTAGTGGTTATTTAATTTTCCAAGTTCTTAATGTTGCTCCATTTTTTCTTTTTTTAGTATTCTCTCAAAGGTAACATCTAGGGCAACAGTTGTAGTAAGTCATTCTAGGATGAATTTTAATGAACGGATTTAATTTTTATTACATAAGAAACCCCAGTGGAGTTTATGGTGCTATTATTTTTTTAGCATTTTTATGTTCAGTAAGGGCAGAGACAAATTCATCACAGTCCAGTGGACTGCAGAATTATTTCTAATAGTTTCACCTCTGATTTAATGTCATTTTCACGTTTATAGAAGGCTCTTTTATAGTAGCATCAGGTTACCAGGAGATTTTGCAAGGCTAGAATAGAATGATAGAAGTCATTATGTGAACATCTTGTAGCAATCTCTGCAGATTATACAAGAAAAGAAAAAAACAAAAAAACAAAAAAAACCCACCTGTCAATGAATTTGAAAATAAATGCTGACCTCAGATATTTAAGTGTACTTTTTTCCCAGTTATGGATGCTGCAATATTTTGTAACCACAAAGAACTGTCATATCAGGTATTACAATGCCTGGTTCCAGCACTCAGGAACACTAATGCTCTTGTTACTTTTTGCATGTTCTCAGTGTCCCTTTTAGCACCACAGGCATTCTGGGAGTATAAGAAATGTGCTTCATCTTTTTCTTGATGCGTTACTTTTCATCCTCTTCCTGTCTGAATCTTACCATCTTTTAGAAGGGAATTTCATAGGATTTTAGGAGATAGAATGCTTCAAGAATGCTTTCTTGAAGCATTTATGTGCTAAGATGTGAAAGTGTTCGTGTATATTCAGCTGGAGTTGTGACTTGCTCATGGCTTGATGAAAGGACCAACATTGAACAACATTGGTGTTTTATACAGAATACTTTATAGTATGTGTAAGAGACTTGTTCATTTGGATTGATCCTGTTATATTAGGATACTGGTGAAAACCTGCAGCTGCAAGTATGCGACAATGCTGATCTTCATTAGAAGTGCTTTTCTTGGTGGATAAATATCTGGGAAAAGAATATTTGTTTTCTTTAGACAGATGCATCATGTGTTTTATAGGATGGTTAAAATCAAGCAGTGGATTTTGATGTTTTAGGCAAAGAGATGTACCCTAATTATTTGCACAGAATGCAAGTAGTTAGGGTACAAGCAGCATAGGGGATGAACATTGGTTGGGACTTCTAACTACTAATAAATTAAACATATTAGTAATTTAAACCAGTGTGATTAATTTTTTTTTCCTATGTGTTTTTTCATGGACTTGGATCAGCTTGAGTACTGACCCAAGCTGAAATATATCTCTTCAGGTATAAGCTGTTAGCCACCTAGCTATGTAGGGTGCTGTTCAAGTCCAGTG